AAAAAAAAAAAAAAAAAAGGACAGAGAGAAACCTTAAACACATATTACTAAATGAAAGCAGCAATGCTGAAAAAGCTACATACTCTATGACTCCAACTATATGTCATTCTTTTTGTTTTTTGTTGTGCCGGGTTCAAACTTGGGTCCTTGCGCTTTCAAGGCAGACTGAGGAAACACTGAGCTAAATTCCCAGAGCTATATGAAATTCTTGAGAAGAAAAAACTATAGAGACAATAAAAGAGTCAGTGATTACCAGTTATTAGGAGGGAGGAATGAATAAGCAGAGGTCAGAGGAATTTTAGGGCAGGGAAACTACTCCACATGATACTATGAGGGTGCATATGTGTTATTATAAATTTGTTCAAATCTGTACAATATGTAATACCAAGAGTAAACTGGACGTTATGAGATAATGATTTGTCACTGAAGTCTCATTAGTTATAGCAATTGTACCACTTGGGTATGATATTTTGATAGTAAGAAGGCTGTGTATGTGTAGGGGTAGAGGATATGTGAGGACTCTACTTCCTGTTCAGTTCTGCCGTGAACTTAAAACTTCTCGGAAAACTAAGTCTGTTTTAATAAAGTAATACTCCCTTTCCCCCTGCACATGGTCTCAGCATGGCCTAGGGTGTGGCGAGTGTTTGTTTTATCTTAGTTTTATGAAATTCTAAAGAGCAGAAATGACTTCAGAGTAGACAAGCTGAGGTCACCATTGAACACTCAGATACTTCCTACCTCCTTGTCTGGTTCCTACAAATTATGCTCCTGTAGTACTGAAGACAGGATTATTTCTTGCCTAAGTGTTTCTCTTCTTTTGAGTCAAGTGAAGAGGTTATGTTCACCATTCACAGAGGCTACTGAAAACCCTATGACGTTATATTGAATGTCTAAAAACACTCAGGTTTTGCTTTATAAAGAGAGAATTATCCTCTTCTTACATTTCTTATAAACTAGGATAATATTTTAGAAATCATCTTAGGGTAAATAAGCGAAAGTGAAAGTTGTCAGCTCAATTATTTCCAGGTGGCTCATTTCCAGCAAGTGTCAATGTCAGGTAAGATTTGAGGGAAGCTGGGTGACTGAACAAGAAAGCAGGCTTTTGTGTCATGGGCAAGCATTTAATTTAAGCTCTGCCAGTTTCTACGAGTGAGGCTTTGGATAAGTTAAATAACCTCAGCAATCTTATCTGTGAAGGAGGAAATGCTGTGCTTATCTCCAACTGCTGCTGAGTGAGAATGCATACACTGTGCTGGCTGGTTCACAAACAGAGCTCAGTAAATGAAGAGCTCCTGTACTTATTCCTTGAAACCCTATACAAAATTATTATCTAGTAGGAATTTGTTTTTTTGTATTCATTCTTTTTTATTAGTACATTTTTGCAGTATATGAAGTTTACAATTATCTTTGGGAGTGGGTATATACATAAAATACAACTTGTTTCTTTTTTTTAAAAATCCCCTTCCATCCC